ATACTAGCTTGCCTACTTATCAATATCTAACTAATATCATAAAAAAATTCAAAATCAATATTAATGTGCTAGATAAAATTGAGTAGCGACTATGTCTACCATTCCAGAAAATTTTACAAATTTTTTTGATTTTTGGATATAAAAAATTGAAAAGAAAAATAAAAGTATTATAACTAAAACTAAATTAAATGTATTATAAAATCCATGCGTTAAATGAAAGAACTCCCTAGTGGGCTCATGGTTCCAACTCTCTGTTCTTTCATGTGCTATAGATAATAGAATATATGTGACATTGTTTATTGTTATGGTTGTTGGTAGTGAGTTAGTTGTTGTTGTTGTTGTGATCATTGTTATAATACAAAACTGGTTTGTGCTTGTTTGGTTTTTGCTTTGATTATTAAATAATTGAAGAGTATTGATCATCTGAAGGAGGTAAACTGATTTCAGTTTTTTAAATAAGAATTTTTTGAAGATTGAAGGTAGCATAGCAAATATTGCTATGAAAATATTATATATGAGGGTTAACTTAAAACAAACAGTAGATCCACTAACTCTGTTTGAGTATATGTTTTAAAAAGTATTTGGTTTAGCAAGTATGATAGTGATGATATAACTGATTTTTATGATAAAATAAGAGTAAAAAGAGATGCAAGAGAACTGAAGAAAAGAAAACTATCATGGGTCTTTTTTTATACAACCAAAGAATAAGCAATATTCCCAAACTTGAATAAACTTCAATTAGAGATTCCATCTCATTGCACCAGTTGTTTTGAAGGTTCTTGAGTTCCTGAGTTGGGACACACTTGTGATAAAAAGAGTAAACTATTTTTTCTTGCTTAAAATTACTATAAAAGAAAATTTTTTAACAAAATGGATATGATCAGAAGAAAGCTTTTTTAAGTTTATAAAAGTTTTTTTTTTTTTTTGAGATTAAATATACTTTATATACAATTTTTATTAATAATTAAAGATTACATATTTCGATATATAAACAGTTTACTAGCTATATTAATATTAACTGACACATTCAATCTTGCATATTTAGATATATCAACTTATATTTTATAAGTGAATTCATATATTAGTAAGAATTCAAGGATGTAGAAATTCCATTACTAGTTAATTAAAAAGTCTTTCTTTATATAACTTTTATTAATAAAATATTTTAAGTTTTAAAAATTATTAATTAAAAGTTATATTCTTATATAACTTGAATTTTTATAATCTAACTTTTAAAATTGATTTATATATAACAGAATTTGAAATATAAAAAAAATATTATAATAATATTGATAAAACCAACTTTTTATTTATATGTTTAATATATATTTTTTATTGGAATCTATTACTAGAACTTGAAACTGAAAAAAAACAACTGATAGAACTATTTTAAAAAAGAATTTTTATTTTTAATAATAATAAATAAATAAAAAAGTTTTTTAAAAAAAAATAACCTGATAATAATTTTTTAAAAAGAAACTTTTTTAAAAAATTATAAGAAATGGAAAAGAATTTTATAAAAATAATTTCAAATAAAACTGTATAGTTGTTTAGTACTATTTAACTATATATATATTTGTTTTTTAAAAATTTTTTTGATATATTTATTAAATAGTTGTAATAAATAAACTAGTATTTAATTTACTGTATGCTTTGTACCTAAAAGATGTTATTTTTTTTACAAAATATATATCTTGTTGTATATAAATAATAAAAAGAAATAGTAAAACACTATATATACTGTATATTGATAATTATATATATTTATAACACACTGTATTGAAAAAATAGCAAACAATAATCTAAACTTTTCTTAAAAATAGAAAACAAAAGTATCCAATTTTATTTATTTCCAAAATCATACCTAAAAGCAAACAAGTATTCAAATGTAAATTATAACTTATGTACAAATTCATTTTACTAATGTCTTCTAGTCTTAAATTAAATAAGCATTATATATACTTGTTTAATTACAAAATATACAGTATATATAATTAAAAATAAATAAATTATATTATATTATATATTACTGAAATTAATTTAAAATGGTGGCAAAATATTAAAATATCCAAATATTAAATCCAAATATTACTAACGATCGAAATTAACGTGATATAAGTAATGATTTTTTATTAAACGAAAAAGTTAAAAGTAGTCAATGATTTAAGAAATCGTTTTTTATCCAGCTCACTAGGTAAAGACAGTCATTCTTAGCGATATTTCAAATCTATTTAAATGAAAAAGATCTAAATCGATCTATAGGTTATCGGATGATTCTATTAAAAAATCTTAAATTCCAAATCCATTATTTTTTCTTCCTTTCATTTGACCCTTTCTTTCCTTTTTTGGGAATTCCATTAACTTCTCTATCATTTTTATTACCCATTATCAGATTACTCCAGTCAGCGCTCCATAATTGTGAAAACAATTGCTGGTTTAAAACGTTCATTGCTACCATTCCTGTAAATGCCACTCTCCAATGTAATTTGGTAACAAATATTGAATACTCATTCCATACCCTAACTAATAGGTAACCTTGTATAAGTATTCTGATAAATATAAATGACAAAAAAAGCAATATAGAATTATAATAATAGAATAAGGTGGATTTGGTTCGATATGACGTTAGATAAAGTTTACGCTGATGTAGAAAGATGTTGCTTATTTCCACAAATAGGTTAGCTGATAAGTATGGTGAATATTTACAGGTTACTACGGAACTTATGAATGTCGAACACACCTTAAAAGAGAATGTAAATGAATCTACTGTTGCATTTGAATAGAATAATAATTTATTATTTGACATACCACGATATGATGAAACCAAATCCCAGGAGAATCCATGAAAATGTTTTTTATATAAAAATCAAACATATCAGCGAAAAAATAACCTAAATTCATTTAAATACCAAAAATCGTATTAATCAAACATGCAAGCATATAAATTTTGCTAGTAATTGTATTGATTATTTGCGCATGGATAAATTACCAATTGAAAAAGAAATTAGAGCTTTAAACGGATATACATCTGAATGGATCATATCATTCCACGCGTCCGGATAGTAATAAAAACTACACAATAACAAACTTTAATTCATATACAATTGAGATGCTTTATTTAAGAGAGAAAAGAAAACCTACCATAAAGGAGTAACGATTGAACAAATACATGCATGTATATAACTAACAAATGTATTACGCCAGAATGACTTTTTCCTTTCATCCAAGTTATTATAGAAAGTCTAAAATTTTTTTAAATTGTTATAAATATACAAAGACAAAAAATGATTTCAACGGAAAATAAATAAAAAAGAATCACCTACTGTAAAACCAGCACAATGAGACGATAGATAATTTAATGCAGTGAATCCTAGGAAGGAATAACATGTGATGCTTAAAGAATCAGTTGCGCAACCGTCCATTTTAGATAATCAATTTAAATAGATAGTTAAGCGTTTTTATATAAGCTCTTTAAAGGGCCTTAGCTGCTGATACAAATAAAGAGTGCAAAATTGGAACTTTCGAGAAACATATGTTTTTAAAAAAAATCTTGACCGCGGGAATGGTTCATCAAATAATACATAGAGGAAGATCTTCCGGGTTCTATAAAATTTCCATTTATTTTCCGATCTTCCGAAATTTATAAATAATATACTGTAATTTATTAAATGTTTCAAAAACAAATTCTCAAACGTGATAAATCATTTACAACGATTAAGAATAGGTATTTATACCATCTCAGGGAATTGTACTGGTTTTGGTGTTTATTTTCTTGAGTTTCATAGGCAGGTTAACATTTAACTTGTTGATATTTGTATTATTATATTTTTTTTCTATAGTTAAACAAGTACATATATTTATGTTTATTAAATATTTATAGAAACAATAATGTATAATACATTGTATTGCATAAACTATTCTACTGCTTAGAACATACATTTTAGATTGTGTCTTTAGATATAATTTTGAAGATAAAAAAAGTTATTCTCTTTAATATCTATTTACTTGTAAAATTAAAATTAAAAATTATTACTTTCTTCTAATTATATTCATTTTGTTTAAAATTTCCATATATGATAATTTTGGTTAAAGAAAAATATTTTACACTCTTTATTGCAAGTAACTCTAGCTTAAGAACTCAAAAATACTAAAGACAACTGGTGCAGTGGGATGAAACCTTTGATTAAAATCTATTCAAGTTTGGAAATTTTGTTTATTCTTTGGTTATATAGGAAAGGCCTATAGCAGTACATTTTTATTCTTTGGTTTTCTTGCAATCCAAATTATCATTAGTCAAAATTTGGTCATTTGACATGTCGAATTATTGCCGAATTTTTAAATTTTTTATAATTAAATTTAAATCAAATTTATATCATTTAGTGTTACTTGACAAAAAATCAAATATAAATATTCATTAAACATTTGTTAATAGTTTAACTATAACATTATAGCATTTAGCAATATAAATACAAATATTTGATAAATAACTTAACCATAATTTAATATATTTTATATTTGAATTTTCATATATATTAGCAATTAATTTTATTATTTAAAAATAAAAATAATTAATAAAATTCAACAATTATTC